AACAGAAACAGCCGAAGTCTGTTTGTTGACCAACAGAAACAGCCGAAATCTGTTTGTTGACCAACAGAAACAGCCGAAGTCTGTTTGCAGACACGCATTTATAAATGGGAAACAACCGTATTACACGTCTTGGAACTGTTTAATAAAGTTTAAGATAAACTTTAGCTTCATACTTGGTGATGAGCAGCTTTGTGAGTTTGACCAACTTCAGTGATTGTTGTTGTTTGACAGACGAGAAAATAAATGACGGTTCTGAGCAGGGTTATCCAAGAACACAGGATGGAACGAGCTCTGTAGAACCATGCTATGAACTCTCTGCTCATCTACTCTGATACTTATTGATGTTGTCCACCCTGTTTCCATGGCAATAGGAGTCAAAACTTTGACCTGTCTCCATGGCAACAGGAGTCAATGCCCCTCCCTGTCTCCATGACGAGTTCACGCCCGCTCTGTCTCCATGGTAACTGGAGTTGAAGCTCCGCCCGGTCTCCATGGTTACTGAAGATGAGGCTCCACCCTGTCTCCATGGTAACTGGAGTTGAAGGTCCTCATGATTCTTTCAGTTCTCTGAGACGCTGTCTCTCAGGACGTCCTGCTGTCACTGTGTTTGTGGACTCAGGGTTTTAGAAAAGTGACCAAACGTCCAACGAAGATGGACGTTCTTGAACTGGTTCACATCCTCTGAATTAAACTGATCTGATTTATTGTTTTTCTACAGGAAATTGTTCACCTGAACAGAAAAGACGTTAAAAATGAAGTGTTGATTTTCTTTCTGTGCATTCGTCTGTTAAACTTTAAAGAAGTAAAAAAAAAGTTTAATATTTATTATTGTTCTTTGAGTCAGGGGATCAGATGTGATGTTTTATCTGAAGTGCCACACATACAAATCTGTCACATTAATAAAACAAATAAAAAAAGAAGAAATCTAGTTATTTCATTTTATTTCTTTTAAAACCTTTTTAATTCAGTTGAGTCTTTTAAATGCCTTTTTATTCTTTAGATTTGGTTTTGGCCCAGTCATGTTTGAGTGAGTTTTTTTGTCAGAAAACTACATTTTTATATATTTCACTTTAAACATTCACTGAAATCTGATTCTGGATGTCTCTAGATGAAACCAGGACACCTACTAATGTCTTCTTTTAATTTGAATTCTTTTTTCCAGCATTTTTCAACACAGAAGGGAGAAAATTGTGACCTTTAACAATCTGCGTAGTTTGATTGCTCACTTCCAGATGGTTTTCAGCTGAGGTTGACCTTCGGTCTCATTCATCTGCTGAGGTTCCATAAAATTAGAACACCAACAGATTTTATTAAAAAAGAAAACGTGTTGCAAAAGTTACTTTGTTCAGGGCTCATAAAGCCGACGTGATGAACTCCAGCAGAAACTTGTAGCGGTGCACAGAGAAACAAAGAGCAGAAATGATAAATTATTTATTTGTTTAGCTGTTGGCAGAAGTTTTGCATCCAGACATGTTGCTGCTGATCCTGGATCAGCTGAACCACAGAGAAGAGACCAGAACCGACAGCAGCAAGGCAACAGAAAGTCCGGCTCTCTGAGGTTCTCCTGCAAACAAGCAAACACACATTACATACTCTGATTATTCTGAAGTAATCCAACTACTCAAGTAAACAGTTTAAAAATAAAACGAATGGACTTCTGTCCTGTAGATGAAGACGTTTGTCTTCCCAACCAGGACCTTTAATTCAAAACAGGACAGTGAGAAGTTCAGACCTGTAAACTGCATGAGATGATCTGTTTCTGTAGCTTATTATCAAGCCCCTCCCTCCTGAGGGTCATCAGAATCTTTGTGTCCCTCCTGAGGGTCATCAGAATCTTTGTGTTGCTCTTCAGGGTCATCAGGATCTTTGTGTCCCCCCCGAGATTCATCATGGTCTTTGTGTACCCCCTGAGATTCATCATAGTCTTTGTATCCCTCCTGAGATTCTTCAGGGTCTTTGTGTACCCCCTGAGATTCATCAGGGTCTTTGTGTCCCTCCTGAGGGTCATCAGGGTCTTTGTG